CAAAGGATTTATGTTGGCTTTATTTCTTTAAAGGTTTGCAAGCCTTTAACATCCTCTAACCAACACTGCCTGATCCTTTAATCCTGCAATGCTTTAAACAATCATAACTTTTAACTGGACACACTGACATGTCAGTTTGCCGTGTCAGTGTGCGCAGCCTACATGTCCTAAAATCTCTTCACGATTGTACCTCGGCGGCCTCTCATCTCCCTTGCAATTAGCTTTGTGGCCGCCGCATGTGTACACCAAAAAAAGTGAAAATTCCCGTGAAAGCATGCAGTTCAGAAGACGAGGTCTAAGACAACAAACTCCGGAAGCCACTGATTGACAGATCTGTCTGCCCACTCTGATTCCCTGGCTAAAGCTGTGGCTGCTGTGGCAGTGCTGTGGTCGCCGCCGCTCCACGTCTGAAGATGCAAGGCCATTTCTAGGTTACAATAACAAACAGCACTCTGACACAACTGCAACGCCGGATATCCGAAACACTAAGAGCCCATCAAGACAAATTTAGTTTGAGGCTTGTAACTAATTGGTGCCCCCGACCTATGAATGTTCTCTCAGACAGAGCATTTTGTCCCCACGAGCAGCTAAAAATATGCCTGGTTTGCAGCATAATAACACAGCTTGGAAGGACAAATAACCTCCTATGGAGTACTTCTGTTACATTAACAGCAGTACTCAATCATATTCATGCGCAACACTATATTTTTTCAACGTTCCTAAAATATCTTAATAGTGCAGAAGCAGTCTAGTTTCTCGTTGCCCTGTGAGGAATGTAAATAACAACACTGCAGTCTCCACCTGCGGAACAACCATACAGGGGCATGGGTGCAGGGCTCAGAGAGCCCCACACAAACTACCACTCTGAGATGCTATAGAGCGCATAATGATGGCATTCACATCAGTGGTTGAGGGGGGGGGGAAACTGCCTCCTGACCACTTCCAACAAACAAGCTGAAATTAAGACCACTGATGACCTCACGGATGCCAACTAGGCTAGTAAACCCAACTGGATGCCTTGGTCCAAAATAGCCTAGTAATGCTGCCTAGTGTTGCCAGAGAAAGAAAAAAAACAATCTTTATGAATTTTTAAATATGTTACATAATCCACAAATTAAATCTAACAAGGATTAATTTGCATAAGTAAATTTGAGAAACAGTTACCCCAAATTTCCCTTGTCCCTCTGGACCTCATTACTCATGTCTTTCATGCATAGAGCCAACTGCTGTAAAATAGTTACTCAGTTTGGGCTTTGTTACAGGGTTTGTTATGAATTAGAGCGACTATAACTGCAGTCTAAAATGCAAAATAATTATCTTTATGTTTTACATTTTTGACATTTTAACCTTGAGATTAATTCACAGACTGTACACCACTAAAACATGCACAAATGTGGAGTATTACCTTTTTTAAAGACAAATTATCATCACATAGCTTAACAATATAAACCCATATAACTGCCACTAAACTCACTAACAGGATATTTCTACTTTTACTTTAGTTTATGTAACAGTCTTTCCCTCTTTAGCGGTCATGTGACTTTGTTTGGGAACATATAGGATTTAGACGTGGTAATTTTAACTGTAGCAGCATATATTCTAAACATTTCCTACAGTTATAAACGGATGTATACGTGTAGATGTGCCAGAGAAACGTGACTGTCGTTTCAGGATTAACTTCGGCATTTTATGAGAATGCAGGGGTGTGCTCAACCTGTCATTAGTAGCACCGGAATAAATATAATATAAGCATGTATATATGTGTGAATGGAAGCGTTATGTTGTGACCGCAGTGTTTGCATGACTGGATCTGATATTTTAGTCGTGGCTGTAGGCAGTGCTGGAGGAGTTTAGGAATGCGTGACCACAGGGCCTTTTGGCCCCGTGGATGCATGTTCTCCTCCCTTGTCTGGGTCCAAAGGAGTGGACCATCACATCCCTGGTTGTTCCTGAAGGTCCACTGTGTGACAAACCGCAGCCGACAGCCACCCACTCACAAACTAGAAAATGACAACCCTCGGGACAGCTGCCCTTCTCTTGAATGTGCAGTAAAAATGGAGGGATTTTACTTTCATTGCACTTTAGAGGGAGCCGTGATTGCTTCCGCCCTAAGTGTGGGCGACTGAGTAGCAGAGGACATGTCAGGTTCATGTCAATCAGCCAGTCAGAGTCTGTACCTCTGTGAACCAAGACCAGAAGGCATTATGCTGCCATCTGCTGGTAACTTGTCTGACACGACTGATACTGTCACTGCTTGCAAATGAAGAAGCAGAAATGACTCCTCAAAGTTAACTTTCATACAAGATGATGGCTAAGATGCAATCCAGAAACCACAAGTTTCCAGAGAGATGTATTTGATCTGAAATATATTTAGCACAGATGACAGTTTAAAAACACTTTTTTAGACCATTTAAAAGATATTAGTCACATATATTTTTAAGTAAGTGATGTTTATTTCTTCATTCTAGTCCCCCACACACACCTACATCTGCACTTGTGCAAACTTAGGCTTGGCAGCCTGGTACTGTAGGTGTGGAATGAATAACTACTTTAGACTAATTTGGCATATTAAGGGAAGCAAGACACAAGGTGGCAGGTAGCATATGTTACACCAAAGTCTCAAAAGCTAAAGTTTCAGATCCTAAAGTTTTTGCTTAATTAAGCGCTGATCTTCTGCATTAATCCCGGACTAGACTGAACCAGTTTCTTGTCTAAATGATTTATTAAAAAAAAAGACGTTTGTCAGCTCTCTGTAGCAGAATTCTTCAAATTGTTGCAAGTGCACTGAAAAAGAAAAACGTTAACCTAAGACTTCCTTTTCAGGGTAAAAATATGGCTTTTGTTTGCCTGTCTGTCTACTGGATTATAAAATTCACACAAACTGATGGAAAAGTCCAGGTCACTATATTTACTGTAAACCTGGGTCATTTAGTCTTGGGCTTAGAGGGGCGATCGTGGCTCAAGAGTTGGGTGTTTGTCTTGTAATTGGAAGGTTGCCGGTTCGAGCCCCGGCTCAGACAGTCTCGGTCATTGTGTCCTTGGGCAAGACACTTCGCCTACTGGTGATGGCCAGAGGGGCCGATGGCACGATATGGCAGCCTCGCCTCTGTCAGTCTGCCCCAGGGCAGCTGTGGCTACAACTGTAGCTTGCCTTCACCAGTGAATGAATAGTGGTATTGTAAAGCGCTTTGAGGGGTCCCAAAAAGCGCTATATAAATGCAATCCATTATTAACTGCAATCTTTGATTAGTTCTCGCATATCGAATTTTGGCTTAACTACACAATAGAACCACAACTGCAGTCTCTGAGTTCCTTTCTATTAATCATTCCTAAAGACATAACTCGATTCCTTATTTACTCTGTGTAGAAAGTAATTTGTTATATTACTTACTTGCTGTAGTTTGAGTTACACCCCAGTATCAGCTGTCATGTACATGCAAGAGCAAAGATCCACCTTGTAAAAAGAAGGAAATACAAAAAATCCTTCTTTTATCATTTATATTTCTTTCATACATTCTTATATAGTTCTATACTGTGTATTGTGTATTTTGTTGTACAGTTATTTTATTCTCAACTTTAATTTATATATTTTATCTTATTCTTTCCCAGTTAAATTTACCCTTCATTCTAATTTGTGTTGCACAGTTATTTCATTTTTAACTTTAATTTTTATATTTTATTCCTTCCTAGTTAAATATACCCTTTTTAATTTTTCATATTTATTTCCTATCTTATTCATAGCCTTTTCCTTTTTTTTCTTTAGATCACGAGCAGTTGTCTAAGCATTTCACTGCATATCGTACTGTGTATGACTGTGTACGTGACAAATAAAATTTGAATTTGAATTTGACATGATTCTTCCGATTCATTTAACTGGAGACAAACTGGTTGCATTTCAACCTGTATCTGAAAGTCTCGTACTTACAAAACAAGAAAAAAATCCAGCAAAGATGAGATACGCATCTGGCCCCTCATTTGATCCACCTACTGTTCACCGAAGCCTCATCAGAAATGGTCTCAGTGAAAGGGCAGCTGTATAAGGCTATTTTAAGGAAAGATGGAGAAAAGGCTGAGGTATGCCAAATTACAAATAAACTGCACTAAAAATCAGTGACAACAGGCCTGATTGAGTGATGAATGCAAATGTGAAATTTTTGTCTCAAATTTTTGGAACTGTTGTAAGGAGGTTAAGACTGAGGTTCAACAGTGAGTCTACAGCCATCTGTAAAACAGTGGAGGCTGTAATGGTTTAGGGCTGCATTTCAACCTGTTGGGGATCTTGTCAAAATTGATGGACTTATAATTGCAGAAAAATACTGTCAGATTTTGCAATATCATCTGGAAAGCATCTGATTGGCAACAGCTTAATGTTTCAGTATGGCAATAATCCCAATCTTACCTAGATAGAAAGGTCATGGATTCCCAGAGCCCGGGCTAAAACATTACTGAAACAGAGTGGGACCAACGAAAGATAGCCAACATCCAAAGAAGAGGTTTGAATGGCCTTCACAAAGCCTGGAGAACTATTCCCGAAGAATGAACAAGAAAGATTGTCTAAGAGAGTTCAGGCTGTGTTGAATAAAGGTGCTCATACCAAATATTGATTTTCAAACTCTGTTTTGCCTTATATACGGCATTTGCACGTGTGTTTGCACATGTTTTAATAAACTGATGTATCTATTCACATTTCACATCAAACTATAGAGAAAAATGAGGTGGCACAAGATTTTTGCACAGTACCAAGCCATTTATAAACGTTAGACGGGCGAACTTAGCAAAGCTGCGCCAAGCTATTTGAGTGAAGCAGATTCGACACCTTAAAAAAAACGAGTTAAAAAGAAAAACAGAAAATTGTCTATTGCTTTCTGATTATTTCTGATTTTAAAGATTAAAACAGGTTGCCGCAAACTGACTCTTCTTCTGTATTCTTTTGTTTTGTTTAGAAATAAACGAATCTGCTTCCGGTTTCCGGTAGATTGGTAAACAATTGACGTCACTTCTGGTCCGTTCAGGCGGGCTGTTTGAGAGCTCGGGGGACCGACGTACCTCACGTTAAGCTTGTGTAACTAAAGTTTTATAGTTTACGGATAGTCCAGTTTACAGATAGTTCACGAAAAGTGACACTTTAACTTTGTTATTGTGTGGAGATCGAAAGCCTTCACGCAGCTGGAGGGAGTAGTAGTGTTGATTAGCCGTATCAATGCGGTTATTGTTAGCTGACTAAAAAGCGAGCTATGGACCGACCATCTAGGTAAGCTACTGCTTTTGTCGATGCCTGGGTAACCTAGATCTGGTGATGCTAAAAACTGTTTGTTTGTTGTTGTTTTTTAATTGTTGACACACAGGAAGACAAAGACTGTGAATTACTGTGAGACCAAGGACTTCGATGATGGTGAGTAAAATTGAAAATCTGTTATCCTGGCCCATTTGATCCACAGTGTGATAAAGAAATAGCAAAGCATAGCATATCATGTCATCATTTTATAATCTTACATAAAGCATTTACACAAGGACGTGTAGGTTCGTTCAAAAACGAAATTACACCGCTTTGAAATTAGTCTTTAGTATCAAAATGTGTGTAATATACTAAAGATATGACTGCTATTCTATATCAACAGAAAAATCGAGGCAAATTTACACAAGACAATTTAAAGTGCTTTACAGAGGATAGAAACAGAGAAACTGAATGTGAGGGTAGACGAGTTTAAATACCTGGGGTCAGTTTTCTAAAGCAAAGAGAGGTGAAGAAGAGAGTGCAGGTAGGGTGGAGTGGGTGGAGACGAGTGGCTGAAGGGTAGCAGCAAGAGTGAAAGGGAAGGTTTGCGAGATGCAAGTATGGTTTTGACAGGAGTTGGAGTTGATGATGCTCAGATTTTTGTTGGAGTTACAAGGATGGATACAATTAGAAATGAGTACATTGGAGGGACAGCTCAGGTTGAGGGTATGGAGACAAGATTGAGATGGTTTAGAAATGTGAAGGGAGGGGGTGGGGGCCACAGAGACGATTCGTGGATGTAGTGAAGGCAGACATGCAAGAGGGTTGGTGTGACAGAGGAGGATGCTGGGAATAGTGTGAGATGGGTCAGATCTGCTGTGGAGACCCTTAAAGGGAGCGACTGAAAGTAGAACTGCATACAAATTTAGATAAATAAATTAAAACTTTATGCAAGTTTTAATGACTTGCTTTATGATATATATTATTGATAAGCACAGAAATATTAACATCTTTATGACGGATCTGTTGGACGTTTTACTGTGATCTTTACATTTTGTTTACTATACATTGTATAAACTATAACAGCTATGCAGATGACACACAAATATATATCACAATGTCACCAGGAGACCGAGGCCCTGTACAGGCTCTTGGAAATGCATTGAGGAAATTAATGACTGGTTGTGCCACAATTTTCTCCAGCTAAACAAAAACAAAACTGAAGTAATAGTCTTTGGCGCCAAAGAAAAACGATTACAGGTCACCAGAGAACTTCAATCTATACACCTAAAAACCACCAACCAGAGAGAAATTTGGGTGTAGTGATGGATGCAGACCTAATCTTAAAAAAACACATTAAGACATAACAAAGTCAGCTTACTATCACCTCAAGAATATATCAAGGATAAAAGATCTGATGTCTCAACAGGACCTGGAAAAACTAGTCCATGCATTCATCTTTAGTAGGCTTGATTACTGTAACAGCATCTTTACAGGTCTACCTAAAAAATCAGTCAGACAACTACAGCTCATTCAGAACTCTGACCAAAAAAGTGGACCACATCAGTCCAGCTCTGAGGTCTTTACACTGGCTGCCTGTCCGTCAGAGGATAGACTTTAAAGTTCTGATGCTGGTCTATAAAGCTCTGAATGGTTTATCACCAAAATACATCAGTGACCTCCTGACCCAGTATGAACCTAAATCCAGGTTGAAGACTCACCTGTTCTCAGCTGCATTTGAATAAAGCACCAAATCCGCACTATTTTACTTTTAAGCTTAAATTTCAAAACTTACATTTTAACTACTGATTTTATCTACTGTTCCCTTCTTCTTCTTCTTTTCCATTTTAAATCATCCTTTTTATTTGTTTTTTAATGTCTCTGTAAAGCACTTTGAATCACCTTGCTGTTGAATTGTGCTATATAAATAAACTTGCCTTGCCTTGCCTAGATGTCTCGTGTTAACTTGATAAATCGCAGTCACTGCAGTGGTGTGATCAGGAAAAAGACATTGCAACAAAAAACGTGTTATTAGATACTGTTGCTTTGCAGAAGACTCTTAAATTCCAGGAAACCTGTAGTACAGTAGGGTGCACATGTGTAATCCAAAGGACTCCCTTTCCAGTCTTAAAAATGGTATCTTTGTCCTCATTTTGTGATAGATGAGGATTTTGCCTGTGTGAAGGCCCCACCCAGCAAAAAGGTCAGGGAGGATGTGAAACAAGAACAGAAGAAATCATTAAGCAAGTCCTCCAGTCAAGAGGCCACCTCACAATTAAGCCAGAAGAACAGGTAGGTGGCGAGTTAATCTGACACTGGCTGTGACAATCAGGTAAGAGGGCTCATGAAACCTGCTGTGAATAAATGTTACCAGTTTTACTGCTGTTTAGTTTGTTTCCAGCAGAGGGCGCGCCACTTGTGTATATCCTGCAATATTGGGAAGTTTTGCTTCAGTCCGTTAGGCAGCTACAGGTTACCTATCTACCTGCAGGGGGCGGTGGTGCCACCACTCTGTGGGTTACTCTTGCTTGTGCTGCCCTTGGTTAATCCGCTATCTGCTAAGAATGAAGTTCTAAAGCACAAAAGAGCTGAAGTGAAGCTGAGCATTAAAAATAATCAAGTGTCCACTGCAGCCACTGTCTTTGCTTTTCATCTTGTACCTTTGCTTTTCTTTTTTTGCGTTCCTTTGTCGCTCCTTTCCCTGTTTTGGCCCACTTCTCAGCTCGTCAGCATTTGGTTGATACACACCTTGAGAAGCATGAAGTGGGCATGTATAGGAGTGCGTTTGCATTGGTTACTGTCAGTAGGCAAATATCTTTACAAACAGACACAAGCACAGTACCGTAAATGTATGATAATGGCTGCACAGGGAGAGTCTGTATTAATGTATTCGCGTATAGGAACTTTTTTTTTCATGCCGGAGAGAGTTTAAAGATAGAGTTACAGGCAGCAATGTTGAGAACAGCATTTAAAGAGGATAGGTTTATGTAACGTTTTCATCGTAATCTGAGAGTGCTTCTGTGCTGCAAACAGCCTGTTTCAAACTAACCTGCACACCGACCAAATTCATAGTTTAACATAATTCATTTTGTGCGTCATTGTCTAATGCAGCCATTCCCAAGCTTACGATGGCCGCGGTCCATTTTGAAGCCCAAAAATGTTAAGCGGCCCACCCAAGCCTATGGTCATCACATGGCCCTGTGCAGTGTTTCCTTTTAGCTGATCCTCTGAAATTACAGCTGGTAACACTAGTATAGTTTTTGTTCACTAACAATGAACTATAAGATGCATTCAAGATCCAAAATGGGCCCAACATTTAAGAATAACGTAGTATTTAGGTCAGATTCTTGGCTTACCTGCACTACCTTCAAGGCCCACCAGGGGGCTGCAGGACACACTTTGAGAAACACTGGTCTTATGGTTTGAAATTCAATTCAATTCAGTTTTATTTATATAGCGCCAAATCACAACAACAGTCACCTCAAGGCGATTTATATTGTAAGGTAAAATACTAACAAGCTAATGTCCACATTTGCTTATTTTAATCTCAGTCATTGTGGCCCTAGCAATGACAATATTGCACCACATGATGATTAAAAGGATTAAACTCACAGATTTTTGGTCTTTTGTTGTAGGTGTAGATATGATATGTAAAGAAATACCAGTCCAAAAGTAAAGCTACTCGGGTCTAGCGCCAATGCATTAATAGATTTTCAAAATGGGTTCATATTTTGTTGAGATGAGTAGCTAAGCGCTGGAGATAAGCAGTGGAAATTATAACTTTGTTCAAAATTATGTGTTGATGTTGAGTTCATCACTGTTAGTATAGATTGAGTAGGGGTGGGCGGTATAAATGGTATACGGTAGAAACGATATAAATTTGGCCAACAGTAGAGATTTTGACTAAACCGCTCTACCGCGATAGCGCATGTTGATGGTGTCATCAAGCTGCGCCTTTTTTGGTCGAAAGCATTGCAGCGGCTGCAAACAATATCATCTGCAAATTATGCCGAGCGACAGTAATAGCAAAGAGACGAAGCACTTTTGGAATATGGGGAAAGCCAAAAACTGCGCTTCCTTCACTTCCGTACCATTGATTCATTAATGCTGAATTCTCTCGCAGCTGCTCTGTTCCCATGTTGTTGCAGTATATGAATGACTAACTTCGTATTGTGGATCGATTATCTCAGTTGTTCTCCTGACTGAAGATTGCCGTGGGCACCTCACCCGTGCCAAAGCGCTCACAGGCGGAGGATAGTCCTCCCCCCGCTGCTATCAGGGCAGGAGATGTTCACACCTATGCGTCCAAACTGCAAATGAATCGCGCATGAGCGAAGCCGCTGCTCCCGCACTGACTGTAACGCAGTCAGTTCTTCTTTTACTGTTATGCAGTTTTGTGGATCACAAGGTTTAAAACTACTAATAAACACACACCCACACACACAAAGTAACTCCACCAGAGCGCCAATTTCGGGTCACTTTTGCTGGTCCAAGCCCGGATAAAGGAGCAGGGTTGGAATTGTGACATTAAAAAACAATAATTCCTAAAAGAAATTTAATTTGTAGTTAATAAATTCTAAATGCATTTAGGACATTTTTTACTCACTTTCTCTTCCACAATGTTATTTCTCTCTCCAACAGCGTAGGTTGCAATTACATTAGCATGACCTATTATGCAAATTAGGCGATGACGTCATTTAGCGACTTCTAGCGACTTTTCGGTCAGCCAATAGTGATTTTCCTTACTGAGGAGTTGGCAAAACTGCGTGAGGCTCCTGACTACGGCAGCCGTAATGCTCCAGCAATCCATCAAGCCATGTGCCTTCATACCTTACCAAAGTCGTACTAAAACATTTTTTGACAGATTTCTATGTGCCGTGTACTACATAAAATCGGTTCGAGGTCAGAATTCATACATAAGGCACACTGTCGATCTTTGAGAAAATTAAAGGATTTTAAGTGTGCCTTATAGTGTGTAAAATACGTTACACAGAAGAAAAGAATATATCGCGATATATATCGTTACCGCACATGCTTCAAATTATACCGTGATATGGATTTTAGGCCATATCGCCCAGCCCTAATTGAGAGGTGCACTGGGTGTGCAGTCAGCTTGAAAGTAAGCAGTCACTTTTAAAGAATATACTGCAGACTGCGTATAAATGTTTGGGTTGAAGCCTCGCTGTGATGCTTTAACTCATTAAGGTGGTTGAATAGTAAAGCCATTCAAAGTCACTGATAAAATGATGACTGGCTTATCAGTGGGGATAATCGCTAAATTAAAACAAAATGTTGATTATGCTGAGTTAAATAAAAAAATGTCACCAAAAAGTAGTCTTTTCTTTTACATTTTTATCAGTTGTATTCATTAGAAATGCTCAGAGGTGAAAATCTCTAACATGGCTTGAATCTTGATTCATTTGTGCAGAAAGCCACTGGACGAAAAGCTGTATGAGAGGGATCTCGAAGCAGCCATCACGCTCTCCATGCTCAATAATGCAGGTGAAGTGAAGGACCAGTCTCATGTCAGTAGAGGTATGATTTGTTCTTTAAAATGATCAATACATTTCATGTGATCAAAAGGATGTTGGCTTAATTTCTTGATAAATTTATCCAGGAGATGTCAAATTTCCAGTAGATGAAAACACAGATCCAGCTTCTCTGCTCCTGTCCAACTGCAGTGTGGATGGTGCAGTTATGGGTAAAGTCTAGCAGCTTTATTTATTTATGTAGTTGAAGATTTGATTTCCTTCCCTCTGTTTAATATCATTATGGGTTTTCTTCAGGTTTGGACAAAATCACATCAGAGAAAGGGTCGCCTGCCCCTGCCAGGCAGAGAAAGGCTGCCTACAAAGCTACTGAGGAGCTGAAAAACAAGGATGGTGATGATGATGATGACTATCAACCCAAACTGACACCAGGTTACTTTGCCATAACTTTTTAAGTAGTTGTATCCATTTTTCGTCTTTCTTTTTGTGTCTTTAAAGTAACAATAATGCTTTTGCAGATTCAGAAAGCGATGAAGATTTCAGTGAACCATCTGAGAGCGAAGATGACGAGTTCAAAGTAAAGAAAGCAAGCAAGACTAAAAAGAAAGAAAAAGCAACAAAGAGTGAAAAAAACAAACAGATTCTTGCTTCTAAAAAAGAAAAGCAACCATCAAAACCATCAAAGCCTAAATCGCAAGCAGCAGGTAAGCCCATGAGGATCATCAGCTTTTGTCTGCGAATCATAATTTCACATTTGAATGAGTGCTGTTCCTTCTCACAGCAGCTTCTACCCCAGTGACAACACCTCCAACGGCCAAACCTGCCTCTAAAAGACCTGCGTCATCCTCCACAGGCTGCACATCGAAGCATGCAGCCTCCCTGAGCCCAGCAGCGGGAAGAATGCCCAAGTGGAACCCACCAGGTGCTGAATGACTAAACAGCAGCACAGCTGGAACATGTTCCTGTAAAATTAACTCAATTGAACATATTTATCAATTTATTTCTGTTTTTTCCTCCCAGCTCAAATTGGAAAAAGTCCCTCCACGTCCCAGAGTCCAGCAGTGAAGTCTCCCGGTCAGGGTCTGCGGCTCGGGCTCTCCCGCCTCGTTCGAGTCAAACCTTTGCACCCTAGTGTTGCAAGCCACTGACTGAACTGACCTCAGAGGTCAGGTCATGTTGTGGTTTTTAAAGTTTTCAGTTATTTTTACGCAGAGACTTCTAAATATTAATTTCTCTTAGTGTGATACAAAATGCACAATACTGAGAGGGTCTTCACCTTGAAGCTGATGGAGCTTAAGGGTGTCCTCTTACCCCTGGATGCTGTTTGAGGTTAAATTCTGAAAGTGTGAGTTCATGTCTGAAGTGTCACTTTTCTTTTCTTTTCTTTTTTTTTCGTTTTTTGGTCCTGAATTGTTACCTGACATGTTACCTCCACTCAAAGCACATTTTTTGTAAATCTTGTACATACATTTAAATAAACATATAAAAACAGGTTACATGCGTGTGCTATCTTTCCACACTTGTTAACTTTTTTTCTAAAACTGCACACATTTAGCCAAAAATGACTGACAGAGCACCTCATAACCTTTTACATAATCCTCTAGAAATGCCTGTGCATCAGTCGTGCATCATTACAAGTTAGTACCACTGTATTATTTATGGCTACAGCAAGCTGGAATATCTTTTGAAAATCAATGTCATATATTTACGATAAACACTGCCTGCATTGTGATAAAAATGTTGTTTGTAATTCCTTAATTCCATTTGTAGTTATTTTGTTTCACTAGATGCATAAAAAGAAAGTACTTTATTGCTTTACAGGCTGCTGGATCAGCAAACTTCCAAAATCTCTTTTATAGAGGTGCTTACATTAATTAAGTGCAGCTTCTACTTTCCCTCTTACTTACTTTGAATAAATAAGAGTGTACTACTGTATGGTTTCACATGACTGTTGTTCCCAAACGGTGTATTTTATCCTCATCCTCTGCCATCCACTCACAAATGTGCTTGTTGATAATTGTCTGTGCACATGCATCATTGTTACAAAGGTCACCACAGAAAGAGCATAACTCTTCTGCTGCCAGCAAACTACTTACTAGTAGCATAAAAAGCAACACTTATCTCAAGGTTTAACCCTGAAACAAAGCACAGCACTATAGCTCTACTAATTGACCCAGGCCATTAAACTTTGGTGGCTGAGTGGCAGCTGAGCTCAACAGCGAGGCAACACACACTCATACAATGTGCAGGCCTGCTAGGGCCATAACAAACAGTCACGTGTCAGTGCCTCTGGGACTCTGAGAATTATGGCTGAAAAGTGAATACACAAAGGTGGATAAACTTAACACACAGGATGCCTTTCCTAACCTTCCCTGTTCAATGTTTGCCAAATATATTAAGAAGTCTTTAACATCCAGTATACCAACCAAACAGAAGCAGTATTGGCTTAAGTTTGAATACCAGGAATTAAAAGGCACAGTTGTAATACTGCTATGACAACAATAATTTGTATTCTCTTGTGTGTGGCAGTTTTAACGATGAAAACTAAACCAAAAATAAAAAGAAGCAGTGTGTCGATGAAGCTAGTCACGTGCACAAGTGTATGGACAAAATCTGCAGTGCAGTTAAAATGAATGAAAAAGCAGCCAATGATAATGAAATAAAAATATCCTTTTTTTCTTATTGGATGTGATATTTTTAGACATTGTTGGATAAATCATGGTCACACATAAAGAAATTGTAACTCCTTAGATTCCTAACTTGCTCCTGCTTGATTTTTTTTAACTCACTTATTAGCTGGCTTTTTGGTATTTTTTTCCTTATAACTTGCAGCAGCAAGCCAGAGGCATAACAGGATACGGGTGAAACACGACACGGATTACTCAAATCCTACCCCCTCTCCAAAATCTGACCCAGACCTGTGGAAGCTTGTTTTCACCACTGGAGAAAAAGGAAAGACATGGGATCTTTTTTGCCATTTATGTGTCCAAATTTTAATTAGTAAGTTGAATTTTTTTGCTATAATAACCTGAAATTTCTAATTATTAATGACAATTTTTTTTGTTTTTTTCCTTTCAGTGGTGAAAATGGGCTGCCAAACAGACCAAACCCTAAATACTGACCTTTTCGATGTGTTTTTACTAAACAGGCTGGACTATAATGTTGCAGTGCCACAAGCAATTCAGTACTACTCTTTCAGCCCTGTTCCCCTTACCTGCAGAGTCCTCCTCTTTTTCTACCCTCCCAGGTAAGTGCAGTTAATAGTACACACCTGCACCTCAGGTGTAATGTAGACAGCAGAGTGGAGAATAATGCATGTCTCCAGCACACACTTCTTTGAATATGATGTAAATTTCAGGATATCAGATTACAGCTCTCGAGCAAGGGGTGGGGAGTAAAGGAAGGGAGAGCACACCTGAAGTAAAAGGCAGAGGAAATGTTTTCTCCACCTCTTTTCACTGTGAAGTAGAGGAGTGTACCTAGCATACACAGGAGCACCAGCATGAGAGCAAGCTGGATGAAAGCTTTGCTTACAGTCCTCATTGTGGCCTTCGCATTGCTATACCTCAGCTCTATTAAGAAGGAGGTCCACATTCATTCTGAGAGACTGCAGAGGGTCCATTACAATGACTCCATCAGGGGTCAGGGAATCGTCAAGAGGATGGAAAAGATGGAAACAGACATCAACAGGCTGCGTGAGTTAAAGTCTCAGTTTGGCAGCTGCTTATGTGTAAAGTCTGTACTTAGAGTTCAGTGAAGAAACAATGAAGGCTAGATCTGTTCATCTGAGGTGTTTCTCATCTGCTACACATGAGAATTTCTGAAGCGAAACAATTAAAGTAACAATTATTATACCCGCCTGCTTTACTACTCACTTATTTTCGCTTTTTAAGTCGACATTGCTAAAAAGTACCAAACTGCTCTTACCTGACTGTTACTGACTTGGTTTTCACAGACAAAAAACAAATTAGATGGACAATGCAAACACCATGTGGTCATTTCTGTCCGCAGTCAGTTTAATGAAAAAGCTTGAAAAGAGGGCACCAGCAGCTGAGAGGAAGGAAGAGGTGAAGGACAAGAGGAAGATGGTGAAGAAGCTGTACCCCAACTCTGATCTATTCAAGAAGTGGGGTGACGATCTGTCGGAGGAGGAGCAGAAGGAAGCCGAGCAGTTGTTTCAGAGATATGGATACAATGCCTTCCTCAGTGACAGGCTGCCCCTCAACAGAGAGATTCCCGACACCAGGCCTCCGAGGTGAGTGCAACACACGAATCCGAAAGGAAATCTAAAAACACACACCGAGCTGCTTTGTGTGTGTTTTTGAGATCGATCAGCAACAATGACATTTTATTGTCTTTGTTGTCTTAGCATGAATGCATATGAATTTAGTACATATACACACTCAATGGCCACATTATTAGGTACATGATTGCTAATGCAGATATGTAATCGGTCAGTCATTAAGGCATGTATACACGGTCAAGATTATCTTCTGCAATTAATCTTGACCCTGAGGAAAAAAGGTGATTTAACTGATGTTGGCTGTGGCATGTTTGTTGGTCTAAGTATCTCAGAAACTGCTGATCTTCTGTGATTTCCTTAAATGACCATCTCTTGGGTTTTCAGAGAATGGTCAGAAAAAGAGAAAATACCCAGTGAGCGCCAGTTATCTGGGAGAAAATCCTTTGTTTGGGTAAAAGGTGAGGCTATTTTGAGTGGAAAGCAAGGAAACGGTAACTCAAATAACCACTTGCTACAACCAAAGTATGCAGAAGAGCATCTTTGAAGCAGAGCATGTTAAACCTTTAGGCAGATGGGCTACAACACCAGAAGACAATATTTGAATGAATTTTGCATCAAGAACAAGAAAGCATGCCTTTCATCAACATTATTAAAATTTAAACAACAGAGGCAACTTCACTATTGATGCTGACCGTGTCCATCTCTTCATGATCACAGCGTACCCGTCTTCTGATGGATGCTTCCAGCAGCATAACACACCATCAGATCCTGTATGCTGGTTTCTTTAACATGAAAATAAGTTGAAATGGCCTCCACAGTCGCCAGATGTCAATCCAGTAGACAACTTTGTAATGTGGAGTGAACTCTAAAGGATACAATTTCAACTTAAAAACATTTAATTTATTACTTCTTCAGGCTGCCTGCTATTTTTCTGCTCACAGGTGTGCTGTGAAAAATTATCCGAAGGATCTGCCGACCATCAGTGTTGTGTTAATCTATTTGGATGAAGCTCTTTCAATCATTAAAAGAGCCATACGCAGCATCGTGGACAAGACACCAGCTCGGCTGCTGCAAGAAATCATCCTGGTGGACGATCACAGCAGCAACGGTGAGTCAGCATGCTTCCAAAATAATTTTCATATCATTTTCAGACTGTGGTGGATATCCTATGTACACAGGGACGGTACTCAGATATCTGACAAATCTGAAACCAAGCGAGAAAGGAAGGCGCTCACCGCAGCTTTAGTTTATAATGCAAATGATGGCAGAAACTACATCCTTTTATTACAGGCAATAAAAGACATCAGTGTAAAATATGAGATGTAGTTTGAGTAGCAAAGGCTGCACTGAAATTGGACACGGTTGCTTGCGTTTGTGGGTTGGAACTGAAAACATATATCAGGGAGTGTAATGTGTAATTGCGATGTTGCTGTCCACTGATAATCCTAAATAAACACGACCACGTGTGTAGAGTACTCGGAGTAGCAGAGTGGCTTTTACAGGGATAGTACTCTGTATGTTATTTTTAATTACTATGAGTATGGCAAATTAAAAAAAAAAAATCTTGTTTTATATTCAAAGAAGTGCCAAATCTATCAGCTGATTTGTGAAACAGTCTTTGAATTGTTTTTATTAACGATCAGAAAAAAAGTGATTGTTAGAGGCATGAGTAGATTTAATCTGCAGCTCATATTGCTGAAACAGTTCTTTATTTTCTGCAGAGGACTTAATGGAGAAGCTGGATGATTACATCAGCTTTATCCATGAGGAGCGTCCAGGCCTGGTGAAGAAAGTGCGGCACTCTGAGCAGCTGGGCCTCACCCAGGCCAGACTGTCGGGCTGGAAGGCAGCTGAGGGAGAGGTGATTGCAATCTTAGACGCTCACATAGAAGTCCACGTCCAATGGTTGGTTTAAGATCTGAGTGACTCTTTTCAGAGCTGTGGTGATAATCCTGTAATTGGCCCTCATGTTTCTTTTAAAACTGTTTGTGCGTGTCTAGGGCAGAGCCTTTACTGGCTCGGATTAAGGAGGACCGGACCGTTATACTGACGCCTGTTTTTGACAAGGTCAACTACGATGACCTGACACTGAGTTCCTACAATACTGCATCTCATGGCTTTGACTGGGCAATGTGGTGCATGTACGAGTCCTTCAGACCTGAGTGGTATGCCTTGGATGATGAGACGCAGCCTGGCAAGTAAGAGTCACATTTAAAGACATCACATTTTACGCATGAACTCCCAGCATGTCAG